TCAGATCTCAATGGGAAAAAAAATCTCATGCTGGGTATCTATAATGATATGGACTGGGTAATGTGTTAGGAACGTAAGGATGCCCCATCCTTTGATGGAAATGAAAAGTATCAACCTACAGAGGACTGAATTCAAAGACACCCCAAAAATCAAAGAGAAAAAAAAAAAAAAAAAAAAGATGCAGCAGGCTAGTCCATTTTGCTGAAATTTCATTGCAGCAACTCAAAATGGTACTCAGTAATTTGTATGGCCCCCACGTGCTTGTATGCATGCCTGACGTCAGGGTATGCTTCTATTGAGACAACAGATGGTGTCCTGGGGTATTTCCTCCCAGATCTGGGCCAGGGCATCATTGCGCTCCTGGAAAGTCTGAGGTGCAACCTGGCGGCATCAGATGGACCGAAACATGATATTCCAGAGATGTGCGCTATTGGATTTAGATCAGGCATGCATGGGGGCCATTCAATGGTATTAATTCCTTTATCCTCCAGGAACCGCCTGCATACTCTCGCCACATGAGGTCATGCACCAGTAGGAACCCAGGACCCACTCCACCAGTGTAGGGTCTGACAATGGGTCCAAGGATTTCATCCCGATACCTAATGGCCATCAGGGTGCCATTTTCTAGCTTATAGAGGTCTGTGCGTCCCTCCATGGATATGCCTCCCCAGACCATCAGTGACCCACCACCAAAACGGTCATGCTGAATGATCTTACAGACTTACAGGTGGCATAGCATTCTCCATGGCTTCTCCAGACCCTTTCAGATATGTCACATGTGCTCAGGGTGAGCCTGCTCTCATCTGTGAAAAGCACAGGGCGCCAGTGGCAGAGCTTTTTCAATTCTGGTGTTCAATGGCAATTGCCAATCGAGCTCTATGGGTGCGGGCAGTGAGCACTAGAGTACGCTGGACCCTCAGGCCACCTCATGAAGTCTGTTTCTGATTGGTCAGAGACATTCACACCAGTGACCTGCTGGAGGGATCTGGCAGTGCTCATCCTGTTCCTCCTTACACAAAGGAGCAGATACCAGTCCTGCTGGTGGGTTAAGGACCTTCTATGGCCCTGTCTAGCTCTCCTAGAGTAACTGCCTGTCTCCTGGAATCTCCTCCACGTTCTTGAGACTGTGCTGGGAGACAAAGCAAACCTTCTGGCAATGGTATGTATTGATGTGCCATCCTGGAGAAGTTGGATTGCCTGTGCAACTTCTGTAGGATCCAGGTATCGCCTTATGCTATCAGTAGTGACACTGACCCTAGCCAAATGCAAAACACTAGTGAAAAACAGTCAGAAAAGATAAAGAATAAAATGACAGTGGCCTCCCCCTGTAAAAGCATTCCCGTTTTGGGGGTTGTCTCACTGTTGCCCATTTCATTACCAAAGGAGCTGAAACTGATTAACAACATCTGCTACTTAAGTGACCAGATCAATATCCCAGGAGTTCAATTGACTTAATGCTATACTCTGTTTAAAAAAGTGTTTCTTTAATTTTTTTAAGAAGCAGTGTACTTCCTGTCTTACGGTGCCTACACACACTACCCCACTGTATGAAGGGACAATGTAGCCACGCTTGAACAGCAGCATTGTCGACCTATGGAGAAGGTAGTACTAAACTGGCTATACACCAACAGTTTTTTTCATTCAGCGTGCAGGCTGCATGCCATACAAATGGATAAATCCACACTTCCAGCTATTGTATTCTGACAGCAAGCACTGGTGGCTGTCAGAATACCCTAACAGTGGCTGGATCTGACTGAATGCAGGCTCAGTAATTTTCTGCCTGACTCCCTCAATTTTTCGGGGGGCTGAACTAACCACAAAGCGTGGTTCATCAGAATCCTACTGAAATTTACTCGACTGGACCTCGTATGGACCAGTTTAGATGGGCTGGTAGACATAAGTGATTAACTAATTAATTAAGCCAAATACTCTAGCTAGCACGTTTTATTCTTTTTGGGTTAAAGATTTTACATCTTTATCCCACAAAAATAAAATACTTACTTACTTTTTCCTTTCTTCCACTCCCTGGTTTCCCGCAAGGCAGTGGGGACGTAGCTCCAGACACACAGATGTCCCCTGGGAAGGGAACATCACCACTGCTTTCAGGGAAGTTACATAACCTAACTGCGCATTATATAATTCTTCATCTCTCATATGCACAGTATTACAGAAATTTAAAAAAATGGTTGCATGGGAACGGGGACCCAGGCAGCACAGAGGTATGACAAAAATAGGTAGGTATGAATAAAATGTCACAAGAATATAGGCAAGTATGATTGTTTATTCCCCCCTATCGATTCTTAACATGTATATACAATAGGGATGGGGAGGAGGTGAAAGTCCTCTTTAAATGTTTTCTCAACCCTCTAGTTGCCACATTTTCTGGACAGCTTGGTCTGTTAATGGAGAAATTAGAATTTTATAAAAAGCTATAATTAAATCTGGAACCACTTTTCTGTATCCATCAACAGAGAATATGGCATTAAAATCCAACACCATCATAACCTGATAATTAAATGTGTATGAACAGCCAAATCTTTTTTTTCTGTTTTGGATAGAGTAGGGAAGGGTTGCAGCACCCTGTCAATGTATTATTTGCTGCCTCTGTACTGTACTGGAGAAATTTCCTTTCACTTCGTCCATTGGAGGCACAACAAGAAGTTGGAGGAAATCACCCTAAGGTGAATTCCCTTTTTAGCTGTCTTAAGTTGTCCCCAGTTGATGATTTACCCTCACCTCGGCTTCTGGTGACAGCTCTAAAACTTTGGATATCTCATTTTCTCACCTGTCTCAGGGACAATGGTCAACTGGACAAACAGAGGGTAAATCTCCTAAGCAGGGGGCACAGTCAACAATAAAACCTGGCAGAGGTCTACCCTTTCCTCACTCAGCCAAAAAAAGTTCTGCCTTTACATACGCTTTAATCCTATTTTCTAATTAGCTGAGTCACATGGTGTCTTTTTTATTATTATTATACAGGATTTATATAGCGCCAACAGTTTGTGCAGCGCTTTACAAGATTAACTTTACACCCCTTGAAAGCTTCAGTGACAGCTGACCGCACAGTTTGGCACATCTTGGGGGCAAGACCTGGGAAAAAAAAAATTAAAAATCACCAGTGAAGTGGAGTTTCTGAACACAACAGTAGGTTATTCAAATCACTGTGCTTATAATGGAACTGTCACTAAAAATTAATTCTCCTCCATCTGTTAGTGCCCCCCCCCCCCCCCCCATGACAGTATGCAAAAATCACTAGCCAAATATTTAAAACCTGGACTATGGGCAAATCAAAAGTGATCCCTTGCAGTAGGATTGAGCCTGCACTGCAAGGGTTAATTGCTAGTTTATTTCTAGGGGAAATATAAAAAGCAGATATACCTTCCCAGCCCTCAACTCCCCTCACACAAGACTGCTCCCCGCTGCTCCTGAACCCCCTGCGGGCACAGCCCTACTGCATGGGATATTTTTTTTTCTGCCCAGAATTGGGCTTTAAGAAGAAGAAAAAAAAACAAAAAAAAAACAAACTCTAGCAATATAGTAAAGGCACCGTACCATAGGCTTCAGCTTCTGGCCCATCAAGAGTACATTTTTGGCAAAATATGAAATTCCATAAAAAGTTTCCCAGGAGGCTGTGGGGATCTTGTATAACCTCACCAATGACTATGCTGAAAGTTGCAATCTACAGTAAATTACCGTTGCTATGGCTAATTGTTTTTTTGTTTTTTTTTTTAACAATTTCACATAGGGGGACTAAAAAAAACAAGATTAGTTAAAGCTGAACTATGGACAAAATGAAAAAGTACATATATGATACATTTTGTCACTAGCATTAGCACATCAGCTTTTTTCCTAAGCCCCCCTGTAAAAAAAAAAAAAAAAAAGGTTTTATTTGCTGTTCCTGTAATAAGATGACGTTATTTGTTCTGCAATGAAATCATGTGACAGCACTGTCACCCTGTAGATAGTCTTAGATGGATACATAATAAAAGATAAGAGGCTGTGGTGAGTGAGGATAAGTGTGACTCAGTCCCCAGTACAACAGTATTAAAGAGAAAACAAATGCCCAAGGGACTTGCAAGGCACAGTAAATTATAGCTAAAAAAAACGAAAAAAAAAAAAAAAAAAAAAAACACATTCTTTCTTATGGTTTTTAGAAAATAGACATATTAAAATTGTTACAAATTTGGTACTTGATGTTTATTTTTGGATGAGGTGTAAACAGGTAAAGAAGCTAAATCTACATGACCCATGAATTATAGAACACAAGCTCTCAACATCTCAAGGCGTTTCTTGAACCAAGGTTCACTTTTTCAGGAGCTCAGAGAGCTTGAAGGTATGGTATCTGTAATTGTATCACCAGTTCATTCCATATCACATGACATTGAAAAACATATTAAGGGCCGACGAACCTCCAAAAAAAAAGCAGATAGTAACTGGAGGGCACTCCACTGGCATGTAACTGTCTTGGCCAGGAGCTGTAATGAGATTTAATCTCCAAATATGGAAAGGCTTCTTCACAGTAAGAGTTGTGAAAATGTGGCAATGACTCCCTCAAGAGTTGGTTCTGGCCAGCTCAGTGGATTGCTTTAAAAAAAAAAAAAAAAAGGCCTGGATTCTTTCCTAGATACACATAATATAACTTGGATACTAACATTTCTAGGTAACGTTGAACCAGGGAATATCAGATTGCCTCTCGGGGGATCAGGAATGAATTTCTTCCCCTGCAGGAGTAAATTGGATCATGCTTTGCTGGGTTTTTTGCCTTCCTCTAGAAGGATGAAAATTTGTCTTTTTTCAGCCAGACTAACTAACTATGTAACTGAAAAAAAAATCCACAGGCAGAATCACCAGCAAATATGTTGTTTTGTTATTTTACCCAAATTTCCAATTACATTTTTTACTAAAAGGTCTGTCTTCTTAACTAAATATCAGTTTTCATCGTGAGTTTTACATCTTGCCAACCTATGTTCATGCCTTCCACGTAAACAGGCACTTGCACATCATTCCTTTACATTCAATGGGGCAACAGGATTAAATAAGGGTCTCTCGCTTTTGACTTGCAACTTGAAAAACTTGGCCTCAAAATCTTTCTTAGTCCCATTAATCACCTCCAGGCTGTGGTCCTTTATTTGCCAGCCTAGCTGTTTGACTTTTCTTGCTCTGAACTGTATAATTTGCGGTATGAGTTCTAAAATATTGGGGCACTCCTTAATTTGTCTTAAAGAAGCACCTTCTTGGAGTAAATATTTCAGTCGATCTTCAAGAAGTGGAACAGAATAATAAATAAGAGCCGGACATTTCATAACCAGCTGTCTTAGTTCTTCAGCGCTACAGTCAAAGGTGGTTTTGGTAAACAGAATACCCAGTTCCATGTTACTGCAAGTCATGTCAAAAATAAATCCTTTAAGCTTGGACAGAAGTTTTAATACTTCTGCATCTTTAAAACCTAAATTCTGTAGAAATTTCACATTCTCCTTAAAAGCCAAAGAGGACTTTGAGAGCACAAATGGATCTTGACTTAACAATTTCATTAACCAAGGTTTAAAGTTTTCCTTTGTACCACCCAGACTACAGTAATTTTCTTCCAGAGCATTGATCATTTTCTTATTGTCTTCAATCTGATTACAAAAGATCTGTGGAGCGCTTGCTAACAGCCGGCAAACTATTTTCTTGCCAAGTCCTAGGTCTTGCAAGTACCTGATGTTGTCTTGTTGGTTTTTGAAACTCTTATAACCGAAGAAAGAATCGGGAAACTTTTCGATAATGGTGATCAATTCCTGGTCTTTGGGACACACCAAGTTCCAGATGGATTTTTGGACCTTGATCTCTGCAGGCTCCTGTAGAAAGGCTTCGGGATAAGACTCTAGAATATTGGCCACTGTCATGAAGTTTGCTCCCATTCCTTTCAGGATATCAGCTGTCTCTTCTACGTACGCCACATCCTTACACAGAACCCAACCTTTTAATCGGCGAATCTTTTTAATATTGATGGATAATTTATAGAGGCTTTCAATTGTTCTTTGGTTTTCTTCTCCAAAGTTTTGCCCATTTGCATCTGATTTTGCAGCAGTGTATGTCCTACTAACCCCCATGATGGGTACGTAAAAATGTCTGCATCGAAAATTGCTTATCCCCAGACCATTTTGGCATCTTAATACAGTACTTGCAAAAGTTTTCAACATAACTGCTTCAAGGCAGTGTTCATGGCAATGTTCTTAAATTTATCCTACAAAAAAAAGGCAGCATATATTAAGGGCAGATTAAAACATAAAGGCAAGGAAAACAGTAAAAAACTACAGTCTTCCCACAATTTTAATGTGATACAATAAACTAGAAAAAAGGAAAACTGGTCTGATGCATTTCAGACTGGAAGCAGGTCCATAGTCATAGCACAGTATGTATAGACAGTCATGGGTCTGGTACATATAGTCTTCATCTTAAATTAAGAGCAGTGCGTACTGTAAGCTTTTATAAAGCGTTTGTAAAACTTTCAGTGAGCTTTAAAGAGACTCTAGCTGCCCACCTACTGACCCACTTATTCATTATACCCTTCCTAAACCCTCCTCCTACACAGCCACCACAAATACCCTGTGCTTCCAGGTATGGAAACATGTGAGTTCCTATGAGCAATGGCGAATCCTGAGCCTAAAAACTGTTAAACGGGGTGACACAAAGCTTACACAGGTTGCTTGTGGCATCTGCAAAGGAAGGAGTAAAGGGAGAATGTGAATGTGAGCATAAAGACTCATGCACACATGGAGCTGTGTGGCCCCCACATGGGGCCATACAGTACCTAGAGAAAAATCTTCCTCAGGAGCCATAGCTGCTGCATACAGCCACCCGAAGAAAGGATAGGATACAGCTGTACAAAGGTATAGGTCAATGCCTGCATAAAACACAGACAGACATATACAATTTTACGTACATGCAGAACGGCTGTAAGTCCATGTGTGTATTTACAAAAGAAGTGTCACATACCTGTGTACAGATGCATCCTGCAACCTCTATGGGAGGTTGTATGTGGCAGCTGTTGCTCATGAGGAAGATTTTTTGCAGGTTCTGTATGCTCTTCCACATTGTATGGCCCCCTTACGGTCATGTGCATGAGCCCTAAGTGGGTCAGGAGGTGAGCTATAGAGAGGCTGTGCTCTTTCCAAACCCCAGGAAGATGTAAAAGACACTTAATAAATCTCGGTATTCATTAAAGAATCATTAAAGTGGTTCTAAGGTCTAAATGTTTTTTTATCTCAAAGCTTTATTAATTCCAAAACCAAAAATGTAATATATTGCATTCTACCAATCCTTAGATGTGGTGGCTGCACTAGTTTTCTTTTTCTCCCTGTTTTCATCTAGTGACCTGGCCCATAATACACCTCCTGTACTGGGGTACCTACACTCTGGATGAAGGAGCACAGAGCAGATAATTATTTTAACACTTTTTTTTTTTAATAAAAAAGTGCCTTTAGTATCACTTTAAATGTATTTTTAAATGCAAGTAGTGTAAGCGCTTAAAGCTCAACACTGAGCAGAACAAACTTACCAGTTATACTTTCCTTTCTCTCAAAAGCAACCCCCTCTTCATAACATTCATTTTGTACATTAGGCAAATGTGATGGGGGAAGTACAGCTCTTGCCATACTTCCAGGCCACTCAGATGTAAGTGTTGCAGGTCTCATAGACTTCAGGGCTATAGATATGTCTCAACTCCTTTCAACATTAGAATCTTATGCCACACATCACCCACTCGTGAAGACCAAGCCTTTTCTGACACTTTTTGTTCACATGAAAAAACTGTTTTTTTGCTAGAAAATTACTTTCAACCGCAAAACATTATAGATTTTTTTAAAGCAGAGGCCCTAGAGAATAAAATGGTGGGTGTTGAAATTTTTTTTACGTCACACAGTATTTGTGCAACGATTTTTCAAACGCAAGTCTTTTGGGAAAAATACACTTTTTAGAATTTTAATGCACAAAAACACAATATGTTGCCCAATTATTTGATAAACTATAAAACTTGATGTCACGCTGAGTAACTAGATACCAAACATGACATGCTTTAAAATTGCGCATGCCTGTGCTGGCAACAAAGTACATACATTTTTTATTATCGATAGGCGATGCTTTAAAAGTCTTTACAGATCATCAATTTATATTTACACAGGAGGTCTAGTGCTAGAATTACTGCCCTCGATCTGATGTTCATGGCAAAACCTCACATGCATGGCGCAACCGCTGTTTACATACCGGCATGGAGTCAACGTTTGCGCACGCAGATGCACATGCGGGGGGGGCAAGGATGTTTTTGGGGGTTTTTTTTTAGTTATTTTGTTTTTTTCTAATTATTTTTACACTGTCCTTTTCATTTTTTTTTTTCTTGATCACTTTTAATGCTATCACAGGGAATGCAAATATCCCCTATAACTTCAATGGGCCTTGTCATAGATTCCTTTTTTGAGAAATTTGGGGTCTATCAGACTCTGGATATCTCCTCTGCCCTTACATTATCTAATCTCACCAAGATCCGTGTGATCAGATGCTTTCCCAATTTACTAATGGTGCTGTTTATATCTTGCGAAACTGAAATTATGAAATGCTCGTAGCTTCCGATTTCTTAGACTATTGAGATGATTGGAGCCATTCTGGTCTCAGACCAGCTCTGTGGTCAGCCAGTGGAACTGCCGGTTGCATTCTTGGATTTCCCCGTGGGACAAGGAAGCCTATGAAAACTGTGGAAGGCAGGAGGGGTGGGGGTGGGGGGAATGTCCCTTCCCGCTGCTTGTAAAAACAATTCAGCAGCTCATTGGCCACTAGGATTGCTTTTACATGAAAGCCAGTTGAAAATAATGATACCAGGATGATGCCTGCAGCTGCAGGTGTCATCCCGGTATAACCATTCAAAGTCCAGCGACGTACCAGTACATTGCTGGTCCATGTTGAGCATATATGTAACAGCAGAGAACATGGGCATACGATGAATTGGCTTTCTGGAGCAATATGACCGCAATTCATTCTGTTGTTCTCATTCCTTTTGTAATGCGCATGTTAAGGATTAGGCCAAAAAGAGTTTTATATTCAGAAACCGTGATACATTTCCATGAGAATTGTCTGACAAGAGCTGAATTTGGGTGGGCGGCCATGTATTGTTGTGCATATAAATTGCCTTGGCCCACAATCAATTGATACAAATCTTCTGTGAAAAACAGCGGAGGGGCTAAATGCTAGTGCTGGCTGTGAACGGGGCCAATCCTCCTAACTCTGAATTTTTGGGGACACTATACAAAAGGAGGCACTAGTATAGTTCTGTACGTGATCAATATCCTGATCCGTACAAACACTATACTAGTAATGGCGGTGATCAGCGACCTATAGCGTGAGTGTGATAGTGTACGGGCAATCTAATGCTAGCTGACTCTGGCTGGGAGGGGAGCTTACTGACCCTGACGCTATCTGATGTCGCTAGTGGCAGGAATGCAGTGATAAGTGAAACATTCTATATACTGACACTGTACTAATGGCACTGGTTGGTTGACGGGGTGATCAAAGGGTTAACAGGGGTGCTCAAAGGGTTAATAGGGGCAATAAAAGGGTTAAATGTTCTAATCTAACCTGTGTGTAAAATGTAGCGCTTTTACTTGGTGCTGTGTTCTCTTCTCTCCCAGGACCAATGGGTGTGGGGGGGCGCAGGTGCATTCACACCATAAAATAGGAAGTGATGCAAGGTTACCTCGCTTTGCCAAGAACTGCTGCTCACCCCGCAAAATGCTGGTAAGAGGCTGGCAAGTAGTAAAAAAAAAACTTTTAAAAAAAATATAAAAAAAAAAACCCTCAATATGTTTTTTGTTTTTTTTTTTTAAAACTTTTTTCTATAAATACTTTTATCAGAATAGTACAATGTTACCATAGTAACATTGTACTGGGGGGAGGGGGGGTGATCAGGGTTTTATTTATTTATTTTTTTTACACACTAAGTTTTGACAGCTCAGGATAGTGATCTGTGATTGGCTGGAGCTGGTCACATGGTACAGGGTGCTGTGATTGGCCCCATGTATCATGTGACAGCTGTGGACCAATCAGAGCTCACTAGTAAGAGGAGCAGAGCTGTTATGAATGAGATTTATTCATAACAGCTTTGCTTACATTGTGATCATGCGATTGCATAGCGACCACATGATCACCGGGTCCCGTTCACCGGGATCTTCATTCCGCTGGACAAGCAGTCGCAAGGGGGAAGCTCTGCATGCCCGCTCCGGGGCCCAGCACCCCCCCCCCCCCCCCGTGTTAGTACAGCCAGAGCGACGTACAGGTACATCGCTTTGCCTGTAGCTGTCACCCTGCCACAGAACATTGCAGGCGGAAAGTGGTTAAAGCGTTACTAAACCCACAACAGTAAAATCAGTCTGTATATGCAGTAAAGGATGCTTGTTATACTCACTGTGGAACCTAACGGGTTCATTCCATGCATTGTATAAAATGGCCGTTTGATCCTCTCTTCTCTGATCATCCCCTTCTTCCACAGTAACTAATACATCTGCTGATAGAACAGAGCCTTTGGGGCAAGCTACACATGCCCATTTTGGTGTGTATTACTAGAGTTTTTTTTTTATTTTCTTGGGAGAGTGCATGTGATCAGCAGAGGGCCAATCAGCACTGTCCAGACAGGGGGTCCTGCAGCCTCAAAGGACAATCAGGGGAGAATGAAACCACCTCCTACAAGCTTTAACCAGTGCTATGCTGGACACTGATAGAAGTCACAAGACTATATACTACTTATGAGAAATGGTATTTAGTTTATATTTAATGAAATAATTGCATTTCCATGTCCTGCGTACTGGCTATGAATAAGGTTTTTTACCGAAACGGGTAAGCTGCTATAATTTGCACACTGTACTCTTTAAGAATAAAGTACTTTTATCGGGAGAACAAGTTGTCAGCTCTTCACTTTATGCTCCTATGCTGTTTAACCACTTGACAGCCGCGCTATAGCTGAATGATGGCTACAGCGTGGTTGTCCAGTTTTCATATGCCGTCCTCCCAGAATGCGCACCCAGCAGCGCGCACCCAGCGCTGTCAGTGATCGCTGTGTCCTGTGGACACAGTTGATCACATGACTAGGTAAAAGGCCAATCACAGCAGCCTTTTACTACGTAATCAACTGGGTCCAATGACACAACTGATCACAATT